AGTCTTTTATAAAGGTATAATTACCTTCTAACTTGTGTGAAATATTTTAATTAACAAAAATAAAGCAAGAGCGTTATTTTAACTGACATAGTGTACTTGCCTAGAATGTGTAAGGCCTTGGGGTTCAATTCCCAGAACAAAAAAAAAAAAAGAAAAGAAAAGAAATGCGGGACAAGGTGGCACATGCCTGTAATCCTAGAGGCTCGGGAGGTTGAGGCGGGAGGATCCTGGATTCAAAGTCAGCCTCAGCAACTAAGCAAGGGCCTAAGCAACTCAGCGAGACTCTGTGTCTAAGTAAAATATAAAAATGGGCTGGAGATGTGGCTCAGTGGTTAAGCTTCTCTGGTTTAGATCCCCGGTACCAAAAAAAGAAAATGGCATGTATGGGCTAGGGTCGTGGCTCAGCGGTAGAGCGCTTGCCTGGTATGCTTGAGGCACTGAGTTCGATCCTCAGCACCACATAAATATAAAATGAAGATATTGTATCCACTTAAAACTAAAAACTAAATATTAAAAAAGAAAATGGCATGTATTTTTTTTTCCTTTATGTTTTCCTTTCTGGTTTGCACAAAACTAATCAGATATCTGTTATTACAAAAAATTCACAGCCAATAATGGAGGCAAAAGTATATACAAATCTATGGAAAGAAATATTTCACTAATTGAAGGCTTTTGTATACCTAGGCTAATTTACTTTCTTAATCATCTTCTAATTTCAAAAAGCTTAGGTAGTAGTGTACTTGAACTCATCTGCATTTCCTTTCAAAACAGATCCCGATAGCTAGCTAGTAGTGATTCCCACAGAAACTAAGAAGACCAATACCTGCATTCAAAGACCAACCAAGATCCATAATTCCTTGTTTTCTCATATCCAAGCTGTTGCCATTTGTCACATCAATATTTGCATAATTTTCTTCCTTTTTCTTTCTTCATACTAGGGACTGAACCCAGGAGCACTCTACCACTGAGCTATACCCCCAGCCCTTTTATTTTTATTCTGAGACAAGGTATCAATAAGTTACTCAGGTAGGCCTCCTTGTGATCCTCCTGCCTCAGCCTTCTGAGCAGTTAAGATTACAGGGGTGCACCATTGCACCCTGCATATTTGTACTTTTTTTTTTAAAAGTACAGTATGTTAAAATAATGTTTCTCAAAAATGCAATTGGAGCCAGGCACAGTGGCACACACCTATAATCCCAGCGGCTCAGGACGTTGAGGCAGGATCTTGAGTTCAAACCCAGCCTCAGCAAAAGCGAGTACTAAGCCACTCAGTGAAACCCTGTCTTTAAATAAAATACAAAATAGGGCTGGGGGTGTGGCTCAGTGGGTGAGTGCCCCTGAGCTCAATCCCTGGTACCCCCTCCCAAAAAAGCAATTGGCCTTCAGACCACTTACAGCAAAATCACCTGGGAAGGATACAGCAACCCTACAGAATCTTGGTCATCATCCCATGCTATTCTTTTGGAGGTTACACATGGAAAATCTACATTGTAAACTAAACACCCCAGATGAATTCCTTAAATACTACTACACTAGAGCATCATTGTGCCTCAGGGGAGCAGGTAAAAGCCCTGGTTGGTAGAAGTCTAATCTGTCATTTATGTTTAATATATTGGCACTCCCCCAACCCGCCACCCCAAATAAGATTCTGCTGCTAAATAAGATTGGAGATCAGTGCCCAGAGTAACACAACACCTTTTATATTCACCACTCAAAAAAATAAGATAAGAGCTAGAGATGTAACTCAGTGGCAGAGTGCTTGCCAAGCAAGTGTGAGGCCCTGGATTCAAGCCCCAGTACCCATAAAGAGTTAAATGTCCATCCCCTTCTGTTTAACTGGACATGGTGGTGCAAACCTGTAACCCAACTACTTGGGAGGCTGAAGCAGAAGGATTGCAAGTTTCAGTCCAGTCTTGGCAACTTAGAGACACCTTGTCTCAAAATTTAAAAAGGGCTGGGGACTAGATCAGTAGTAGAGTACCTCTGAATTAAATTTCAGTAGCCACTCCCCCAACAAAATGACAAGAGGCAGTGGAATCAAAGAGAAAATGATTGTTTATCAAGAAAGGAATCCTTGTGGAAGTAAGAGTTAATGGTTCTTCAACTGCTATACATTTACTGGCCCTGGAATAACAAGAATACAAAGAAATCTAAAACTTTCATAAGCTCATATACTCATAAGCTTAACACTGCAAAAGACAAACACATTAAATGCTCTTTGCATAAAGCACAAAAAGAAAAGTACTTAAGGGAATGATACTAATAATTAGAAACTCAAAAGGAACATAATCATATAGAACAGTGTCAGAGAAGAGAGATCATTAGGAACTGTTCTAGGGATGGAGGAAAGACCTCAACTCAAACTGGGACATGAAGGTTTGAATCATGATTCTCAAAAAATACAACAGATGCTGGACATACAGGGGCAGGCCAGTAATCTCCATGACTCAGGAGCCAGAGACAGAGTTATGAAAACTAAATGGGGAGGGGGTGGGGCAGCTGGGGATGTAGCTCAGTAATAGAGAGCTTGCCTAGCACTTGTGAAGCTCTGGGTTCAATCCCCAGTACCATAAAAAAAATAAAACAAACAAAAAAACAACATAACAGATACAGCTGGGACTATGATGTTCAATCTAAAGTCTCAGGGAAACATTTTCTAAATACATTTTAAAGAAACTAAATAAGTGCTAGAGTGTTGCTCATTTATTTGCACAATAAATAAATAAAACTGAGATAAGTATTTGGGGAAGAAACTAAAACACAAAAATTGAACTGCCTCAAAGTTAAAGTTTAAAAACATATATTGACTTCCAGTCCAAAATTCTAGCAAACTTGGAAGTCCATTTCTGAAAGAGATGGAATAAAGGATACTGGACATTATTTTCCTTACACAGATCGATTTGATTGTAAACTTTTAGTGAAAGCTACTGGGAGGTCAGGAGTAATAGTTTCTACAATTCAGTCCTTTTGGAGAAAGCTGAGCTACTCTAATGAGACAGTTCTTTTGAGAAACTCCGTTGTATTCCACATGGAGATAATAAATAAAAGCAGCCACTGCCCATCTAACTCCACAGATGGGATACACCTCTCTTGTGTAAAGTGAGATTCAAGATTAGCAGAAAAGAGCTTTTCAAACTGCAGTCCTGTGTATACTTTTAAGCATACCTACACCACTCTTCTACAAAGATATTAACTGAAGAACACAAGCAAATAAAAAATGTCAATATTTAAACTGACAACCTCAAACGACATTCCCCAAACTCTTGAGTAAAAGTATTCTTCCATTTTGACTATTGCCAAGTCATTTTCACACACACAATGACTTTGCTACAAGAACAACATACTTCATAGTCACCTCAAATACTCCCCTGAAAAGGATTCACATTTGGAGAAACAGGAGCTCAAAAGGATAATGTGACCTGTCTGAGGTCAACTGCAAATCAGGAGGCATCAGGAATAGAATGAAAATTTTCTTAGTCCAGACCTCTAGGCATTTCAAACAGAATGGCTGCTCAGTATAATCCCAACTGCTATGAACAAGCCCCCCAGTGCTAAAAGAAAAATCACTCTAATACAAATCATGAGCAGAGAATTGCCTAGAAATCCAAGTGTCAAAGTCTATCTTGAGGATGTTTGGTAGGTTCCTCAGCACAATAATGCTGGCAAATTAAAACTTTTCTTGCCCTGTTTTCTCATTAAAAGAACATGCCTTATCCTACAATAGCTAAACTTTGTGCAGGCTCTACAATGACAATGAAACAGACCTAGAAAAGGAAGGCGCAGAAGACCAGACGGCCAATCAATATAAGGACTGTCAGGAATTGCAGGAGGGAAATCCAAACTGGTCCTCACAAGGATCATACCTCGCCCAGGGGAAACTCCAAAGAAAATCTCACTTCCAGCTGGGTGAGAAGGGAAGACAGTGATGTTGGAGAATACTGGCAATGTGTGTAATAAATATTTACGTGTTCTTCTGGGTGTTTAGGCTACAGTGGTGAACGAGACAAAAAAAGTAGGGAAAACTGCTGGCACAGGCCACAAGAAGTGACAGGGAGGAGGGTGATGGGGAGAATGAAGACACTTCTCCAAGCACTAACGTGGACGCTGTGATCTGGTGTTGTGGTGTGGTTACAGCTTTGGAGTCGGAGAGCCTCCAATTTTATCACGGCACTATTTATGAATGAGACTTCTGAGTCATCCGCATAATATACAGCGCCTCTCCGGGCTGTGGGAATTGGATGAGATGACGCCGACAAAGCCCTTCGCCATGGGATGGCGCTAGTAAGCATCTTCCAGGGAGTGCTGTCTTTTCAGCAATTCATCTTCTCTCCCCTAAAGCCTAACACAGTGCCTGGAATCTCTCAGCTGATGGGGGCCTGCCGGCTAACTGAACCAATGCATGAGAAAAATGAACAGAAGCGCGGAGAAAGAGAGCCCTCGGGGGAGAACCTGGGGCGCGGGCAAGGCCTACCCGGTGCCGGGGCAGGACGCGGGGAGGCTGCAGCCGGGACGGGTGGCGGACCCTCCAGGCGACCGCGAAGCGCTCCGTCGCGCCTCGAGGGAGCTTCACCGCCGGACGAGGAAGCGTGGGTGGGGCGCCACGAGACGCGCCGGTGGGGAGAAGGGAGGAAGCAAAAGGGACCCGGGTGAGCAGACGGAGGCCTGGCGCCGAGCGAAGGGGGCAGCAGCTGGCCCGTTCTTTCACAAGTGCCCTCCGGTCCCCGCGCGCGGGGACCGTTTGGACGTAACCGCCTCCCGTCTCAGCGCCTGTCCACCCAGCCCGGGCTCGTCCCGCCGCCACCACCTCATCCCGCTCCCAACTCCCGCCCCGCTCCCGTTCAGCTTCCACCCGGAGCCTCACAGCCGCCCCCGCCGACTTGGCCCGCTCCGCACCTCACACACGGTCCATCGGCGGCGGCCGCCATCTTCGCGCGCGCGCGCCCAGCCCCGCCCCCAGACGCCGCTCCCACGTGACTGCTTGCCCCGGGACCGGGCGCGTAGGCGGGATCTTTAGTCACGTGATGGTGGGGCGGGGCCAAGATGGCGATGCCCAGGGACGTGAGGAACCCGTGGTGGGGGCGGTGGAGCCCGTAAAGAGAGCCGAATTCGGCGACGTCTGCACCATAGGTTGGAGGCAGTGAAGGGTCATCGGGCGCTAGCTTGTAGCCGCAGACTACTGCTGGTGGAGGTCCCTCCTCAAAGCTGGAGAAGATTGTTGGCAGAGCGAAGCTGCTGCCCTCTTCGTGGCTGGGTGAGGGGCCCAGAGGCCAAGGCATCCCTACTCACCCCGACTTCCCCAGAGCCCTAGGCGTGTAGACATGACCCGAAAGTGCCCTCCGGCAGCCCCGGAGTCCGGGGCTCCCCTGAGCGGTACAGTGCTGGCAGAGGCGGCAGTGGTGTTCTCAGTAGTGTTGAGCATCCACGCGACCGTCTGGGACCGATACTCGTGGTGCGCAGTAGCCCTCGCAGTGCAGGCCTTCTACGTCCAATACAAGTGGGACCGGCTGCTACAGCAAGGAAATGCCGTCTTCCAGTTCCGAATGTCTGCAAACAGTGGCCTACTGCCCGCCTCCATGGTCATGCCTCTCCTGGGACTGGTCATGAAGGAGCGCTGCCAGGCTTCTGGGAACCCGCACTTCGAGCGCTTCGGCATTGTGGTGGCAGCCACTGGCATGGCAGTGGCCCTCTTCTCCTCGGTGTTGGCTCTGGGCATCACTCGCCCGGTGCCCACTAACACTTGTGCCATCTCGGGATTGGCAGGAGGCGTCATCATTTATATCATGAAGCACTCGCTTAGCGTGGGCGAGGTGATCGAAGTCCTAGAAGTGCTGCTGATCTTTGTTTATCTCAACATGATCCTGCTGTATCTGATGCCCCGCTGCTTCACTCCTGGGGAGGCACTGCTGGTACTGGGTGGCATCAGCTTTGTCCTCAACCAGCTCATCAAGCGTTCTCTGACTGTTGTAGAAAGCCAGGGGGACCCAGTGGACTTCTTCCTGCTGGTGGTTGTGGTAGGGATGGTGCTCATGGGCATCTTCTTCAGCACTCTCTTTGTCTTCATGGATTCAGGCACTTGGGCTTCCTCCATCTTCTTCCACCTCATGACTTGTGTGCTGGGACTTGGGGTAGTCCTACCCTGGCTGCACTGGCTCATCCATAGGAACCCACTGCTTTGGCTTCTTCAATTCCTCTTCCAGACAGAAACCCGCATCTACCTCCTAGCCTATTGGTCCCTGCTGGCCACCTTGGCCTGCCTGGTGGTGCTCTACCAGAATGCCAAGCGATCATCTTCTGAGTCCAAGAAACACCAGGCCCCCACCATTACCCGAAAATATTTCCACTTCATTGTGGTAGCCACTTACATCCCAGGAATCATCTTTGACCGGCCACTGTTGTACGTGGCTGCCACTGTATGTCTGGCAGTCTTCATCTTCTTAGAGTATGTGCGCTACTTCCGCATCAAGCCCTTGGGTCACACTCTGCGGGGTCTCCTGTCCCTCTTCCTGGATGAAAGAGACAGTGGACCGCTCATCCTGACACACATCTACCTGCTTCTGGGCATGTCTCTTCCCATTTGGCTGATCCCCAGACCCTGCACACAGAAGGGTAGCTTGGGGGGAGCGAGGGCCCTAGTCCCCTATGCAGGTGTCCTGGCTGTGGGTGTGGGTGATACCGTGGCCTCCATCTTTGGCAGCACCATGGGGGAGATCCATTGGCCTGGAACCAAGAAGACTTTTGAGGGGACCATGACATCTATATTTGCACAGATCATTTCAGTAGCTCTGATCTTAATTTTTGACAGTGGAGTGGACCTAAACTATAGTTATGTTTGGATTTTGGGATCCATCAGCATGGTATCCCTCTTAGAAGCATATACTACACAGATAGACAATCTCCTTTTGCCTCTCTACCTCCTGATATTGCTGATGGCCTAGTGTTACACAGTAGCAGTGATGGAGGGAACAGAGACATGAGGATAATGAATGGTCCCCACAGCAGTTAGCCACTTGGGCATGAAGACCCAAGGGTAAAAAGCAGATTTGGTTTTTCAGTTAATCAGACTTAAAATAAAAAATAAAAAATAAAAACCTCTCCTGATTTTAGTTTTGCCAATATTTAAAAAAGAAAAATGTCTGACAGTACAACAATTCAGAGAACTTGAGATGTAGAGCCCCCTTTGTTTTTGTGGTGGTGGTGGGGCCAGAATGGACACTGAGGCATTAGAGCATAATGATTAAAGCTTCAGGTTCTAGGGTTAGTCTGATCAGAACTCTTGGCTGCATGACCTGTTAACTGTATGGCCTTAGGTGAGTCATTTAACCAGTCTGAACCTAAGTGGATGTTAAGAGGATCCAATTTGAGATAATGTACATGAAATATCCAGCTGACGGCCCACCCAGGACTAGCAATCAGTAAGGGAAAATGTCTTGGGCTGGGGCTGTGGCTCAGTGGTAGAGTGTTTACCTAACATGTGTGAGGCACTGGGTTTGATTATCAGCACCGCATATAAATAAATTAATAAAATAAAGGTCTATCAACAACTGAAAATTTTTTTTAAAAAAGGGAAGATATCCTTATTACCCAAGACCAGTCTTCAGTTCATTGAAAAGCCAGGTGAGGGGGAAAAAAAAAAAGGCCAGGCGAGATAAGAGGTTTTAAGAGTTGTACTTGGAAACCAGAGTGACCTTTGTTCTCCTGACTTCACTTGGAAGAGAACCCAAGAGAGTAAGAGCCAAATGCATATGTTTTCTCCTACTTAGGCTAGGAAGAGCTAAAGGGAGAAATGGGTCAGCTTCTAGGTCACTTGGAAGGGCTGGAGGGAAAGGATCAGATCCTGGACTCCTATTCCAACCAGCCTCGCTCCAAACTCTCCGTAGCTGGGCAGTGCAATAGAGAAGGATTGGTCAGACATTTCTCACTCCTTGTCCTAGGGTCCCTCCTGAAACCCTTTCACATTCCAGTGAAAGGGTCACATTTCCAAGCCTGTGTTTGTCTCTAATGGTATATGAATCTAGGAGAGATTCACAGGGGCTGGGGAGTTTTCTGAGAGTTAAAATGGGTCCACTGGGGGGTGCATACTCCAGTCAGGTCCCAAACTCCAGACCACATGCCACAGGGGTAACAGCCTAGCCAGTAGCAAGAAGTCAGCAGGCGTTCACTGAATGGAAAGATAGCACAGCAGGATTCCTAGGCTGGGTAACCCAGCCTGGCAAGAAGAGTAAGAACTTAGGCCCACCACTGCCAGAAACCAGGCATGAACTTCAGAGCTGGAACTCTTCTGCTTAGGAATTACTGCCAAGTCATTTCCCTTAGAGAGGAGTACTAAAACATTCTCCTGGATCTCAGGAAACTTAACAAACTCATTCCTTCTCCCAGGCTCCCTTCTGTGTTGGCAAATGTGGGTGAGAGAGCATCAACTTCACTAACCAGCTCCCTAAGTGGCCTTGGGAAAGAGCTCTCCTCTGGGCCTCACAGTAGGGGAAGAACTAAGCCAAGGTTATATATGTGGCTGCCAAAGCTAGACAAGTGATGCCCAGAATGAGGACAGAGAACTATGGTGGGCCTTTCTCAAGGAGGCTGCTCTAGCTTGTAGTGACTTTGCTACAGTGTGGGCCCAGTGTTATCAATCGCTCACTCATTGAATGAAGTTAATGAAACCTGGATTATTATGTGGAATTTTAAAAAGTTATATTTTCTGGTGCTGTGGATGAAACTGGGGTCCTGCACATACTAGGCAAGTGCTGTACCACTAAACTACATCCTCAGCTCAAAAGTCTGATTTTAAATGCTGAGGCTCAGACGAAACACATCTGCAGTCTGTAATCAGCCAGTGATTTCCATTTTGCAACCTCTGGACCAGACCTCCACTAAGCAGGTTTTTGGATTTAGAAGTTGTTTCAGAAATTCTGGGTGTCTTCCAAGCATGCCAAAGCAGGAGGGGCCACTGGAGGCCTGGTCTGGCCTCCTTGTTGTCCAGGTAGGGAAATGTCCCTGAGAGAGGCAGGGCCTGGCTTGAGACCAGAGACTGGTAATGGATTCCTGGTCCTGGGCTTTTTTTCCCCTCTCCAGCAGAGGATTGGACAGCACAAAGAACAGGAGCCCAATTTCTGTATATCAGTGACAAATCCTCTGAAAGGGACATGAGGAAGAGTACCG